TTGGTGATTCTACATGACCTACTCACGATCAATATGTGACCTACTTATGATGTCAAAAATCATGTATGGCCTGCATACGGTGACAGTATTCAAACATGCCTTGCTTACGGTGTTAGAAGTCATACATTACTTAAATATGGTTGTGATATTTGCGATATCAGCAGTCAAACATAGGTTGATATCCCTATTTCACGCATAACAATTTTCCTTGATATTTCCAACAGTAAACCTTGCAAATATTTAATGCGACGATTTAAAAATGGCAGGGAGTTTTTTACATGAAGATATATCGAATAAGTAAGAGTTGTTTTTCCTTTCAGTTATAGCCCTATTTTTCCTCCCCTTGCTGGCGACTAATGCTTTTGGATAGAACATGGATACCGACAAGTAAATAACTGGCACCACACTGGATTTGTAAGTGTGTCATGATTTTCCTAGTTACAACAACGATTATTACAAATAATGAAGTATTGACATCAAACGATTTATGCATTGCTTGAGAATGTATGTTGTAAGAAGTTTAATTTAAGATTAAATAATACAAGCAGTATATATACGGATTCACTCTATTGTTTTCTGATTACTATTTTATTTTTATTTTCAGCATGTACCTGTTTTCAAGAACTCGACTTCCTCAAAACTGTGTTGTCATTTCTATTTATGTGTTCTTGTAAATAAAAACTTAGATGCTAAGGAAATCCGTATTTTTATTTCTAAATACTTGTCCAAGTAATAGCTTAATTATGTTGAACTCGACCTCCAACAGGGCTGCGAGAGGACTGAAATAATGGCAGACGTGTTTTTTTATATGACAGATTTTGATATGGATAGGTGTGAATATCAACTCAAAGCCGAAATCCACAGTACACATATCAACGTTTGGAATGACCTATTTAAAATTACAGGTTAAAGAGATATTGGTCAGTTTATTCATTTCCATAAAACAGGGTTTATTGTGGGAGTTTAAGGTCGTCATAGTGACCTCATTGCAAAATATTACATTTCATTTGCAATATAATTTGGACGTGTTTGATGCTCGCCTGTAAGCATTGTTTTCTTTTGGGAACGTGATATAAATGACTGGAATGGACCAGTATTTATATGAAATTGTCAGCAATGATGTAAAAGCCGTATACCTTTGGTTTTTATTCTCCTTGTATTTTTCATAGGCTTTTATTTTGTCCATATTTTCCTACGGTTTCTCTGACCTTCTGCGATGACAGCATTCAAGTAATAACGAATGAGTTTATTTTGGGGGGGGTTAACGACATATGCATGTCCATACAGATGGATATACCAACAAATGTCAGGTGTAGACAGCAAACATTTAAAAACAAATACAATTTCAAAGTGCGAAGCATGTCAGTATCAGTAAGAATACTATATCACCTTAATTTATACATACACAATTTATCATTATTATTTTTTTTATTTACATTTTTAATCAAAACTGTATCCCCCATACCCTAAGCAACTGTAGAAGCCATAGACACCATCTCCCAGACAGGATCCGAAAATTACGGGAAGGATCAAGGACGGGAGAGCTATGGTTGCAATTTTAATGTCCATCCTATTAAAAACTTGAATATGTATAAATGATTAATAATTGTCTGTAAAGAATATTTAGATATAAACATATTACAGGTACCATATATAAATCAATATACCTTTACTTGTAACAAATACAAACCATGAATGCCTTCATTTACCAACAACAATTACAAATACAGAACACGAATCATGTTATATACAATAACAGTACCAAATGCTTTTATATGATTATTACAGTAACAGATACAGAACACAAATGATTCATATGATTATAACAGTAGCATTTATAGAACACGTGTTGTTTTATATAACTATAATAATAACAAATACAGAACACGTGTAGTTTTATATAACTATAATAATAACAAATACAGAACACGTGTAGTTTTATATAACTATAATAATAACAAATACAGAACACGTGATTTTATATAACTATAATAATAACAAATACAGAACAAGTTTTATATAACTATAATAATAACAAATACCGAACACGAATGATTTTTTATCATGACAATTACAAATACCGAACACGAATGATTTTTTATCATGACAATTACAAATACAGAACACGAATGAATTAATATGCCAATTAATTTTAGTATTGGCATGAATCAACTACTACGCACATTATTAAAATCTATGATGACTTCATGACTATGAATTCATGTTACCAAAGATATGTTAATACATAAATAATACTGAGAATAATAACATGTGTTAATAGTATATATATATCGGTCTATAAATGATTAAGAGATAAGGTACTTATTTCCAAACTTTTACGTTTTCTTAACTGTGTACTTTTGCTGATTGCAATGTTATGTAGATGAGCGAGATTATATAAACATTCAGACTCATAGTCCGAAATAAAATTATTAACCTGTTCCATTAATAATAAATTTAATGTTTTATTGCAATGATAAAAACATTTTAAATATAGATTGTACAGGCATTTAAAATATTTATATAAATTCTTTTCTAAAATGTTCAAAATTTCTAGATTTGCTTAAGAATGTTCGGTAAGTTTCATTACAGTCATTATGAAAACAGATCTTTTGAATTTTCATTAAGTAACATAGATGTAAATAAAACCTAGATGGCAGTCCTTGGACGTATGATCTGTATTTATATATAGCGATTTATGGTGTTATCTAGATAATGAATAAGTTTACGAAAATATACATGTACCCTGCGGTGCAATTATAGGTAAACATATATTGCTAGTCTTGCCGCAACGTTGACATATTCTGATTTAATGTAAACCTCAAGCCGTCGTTACTAAACCACTAAACCGTACATCGGTGCCTGTAGATCCGGACATACGTATGATTTATTTAATATTATCTAACCCACAAGATGTCAATAACCGCGAGCACAGAGCGGTTAAAACCACAGCTGGGAATTTAAACAGGCAATCACATGAACTTTGCTTCTTCGGCAATGTCGTTATAATGGAAAGTTGCTTCAGCATATTTTGTATGTAAATATTATCATTAATACATAAAGGAACAGAGCTATTATATTTCTGAATTGATACAGAATTCATAATTTCTCAATGCTACTTGGTTGATCTATCAGCAAGGTAGTAGCAGTTCCAAGCTGGTAACCGGAAGGAAACATAATACAAGCTGTCAGTAGGTCGTTCCTCACATTTTGCAAGTTAATTAGTGTGTATACATTTTTATGTGTGATTCCTGCTATAACAGGTGCAGATTTTTACACTTTTGAATTTCGGCTTGTATTTGCAAATTTGCAAAAGCAACGGTTTACTTTTTTAGCGACATTTAAAATAAACGGGATAGTCGATGTTCGAACTTTATTCTATATGAAATATATAAGACTATAAGGAGACGAAAATGTTTTCCTGCATGACGTAATACCCTTCTGATTCATTAATGATATCCGCCAGGTATATCTTTCTCTTAGTGAATATTGGGGTAGAAACTGTCAATCACATTATATATGATACGAATATTTATCATGTAGTCAAAAAGACGTCCAATGTTTCAAACCTAACATATAACATTGCCGTTTATGCAAAGGGAGGCGATTTGTAATTGTCTTCAAATGTTTGAAATAATTAACATTGAAAATTCTCATATAACCGTTAGATTGGTAGTCGTTATATCTTCAATGTACATCTCGGAGGTAGAAAGTTATGGCTTTGTTGCATGATTTGTAGATCTTGTTGTAACATATAAATGCAAATGTCACCCCTTGCGTGGCCATTTTTCATTCATTATGGTAATTTTTATTCATTTTGTAGAAGTGAAGAAGCACAAAAGATTTACTGTTCAATTTCAAATTTTCAATATCTACTTGATCTTTGCGTCGATCTAGTTTCAACTATGTTATTTCCAATTTAAAGCCAACAAAACAAATTGGAATGATCGCCTTATATATCAACGAAACAAAATCCAATAAACTATACTCTGGTACTGATCAAAATTTAGAAATTAATTTCATCTCCTCAAAATGCTGTCTGTGGCAGTGTCAAAGACGTCACAGGCATAAACTCCATAGCATGCGGAACACAGTTAGTTATGATTGTTATGTCATGATGTGTACAGGTTGATAGTAACAACTTACAAGTATTTGCATTAAAATTCAAGCTGACAGGGATATTAGAGATAAATCAAAAGGCTAATATTAACAACGAAAGAATAAACGTGTTATCCATTTTCTCACATTTGTTATTCACAAAATCACAGGTATAATGAACGAAGACGTTGTTATAATATCGAACAGCAGTGTTTGTGATTTTTAGATTTTATGGTTGTATAGAGTAACATTTGTTTTATAACAGGTTCCACTGAGCAGGCTGACTCGGTTTTATATTGATGTATTTAGGAACTTTCCAGTTGAACGAAAATAAAATGAATACATTTTTTTCACATGAAGTCACTTTATCAAAACCACAGTAACTTGAATATGGTGATACAGCGTCAATTCTTGATATCGTATTGTTAACGACACTATGAAGAATTTGTGTCGTTTTTACACTCGACTTTTTCATATGTTAATACCAAATTAGTGCACAATCTTCAGGCAATGTATAAAACAGGGATACAATCCACTTCATACACCTTGAAGAGTATTCGTGACCGAACTCAAGATGATACTAAAAAAATTATCTTATCCACTTATTATACTTTGGACAGTATTGTATAAAAAGACAAACTATAAAGTTTGGAATGACATGCTTTATTTAGGAATGTTAACAAGTAAAATGCTGACAGCAAACAAACAGGGGTTTTTGGTAACAGCCAAGGAGTCTCGCGCACAAAGAAAATAAATCTGTAACAGAGAATATAAAATATTGTTGTTTGTTCATGAAATGACATAAAATAGACGCCGATGGTAATGGGATTATTTTAAACCTCGATTTAAATGACAACTTTAACATCCTAACTTCCGTTGTAGTCCGTTGCATGGTAAATGGTCTATCCAATGTTGTTATTACTCAACAGCAGCAGTAACAAGAGGGCACCTCCGACTGAAAATAACAAAAGATGTACAACTTTGTTAATTGTAAGAATAGCCGTGGTTGACATAGATCGCAATACAAGCTTGTTTAATTGTTGCTTTGAGAGCAACACAATATGGGAGAGAGAGAGAGAGAGAGAGAGAGAGAGAGAGAGAGAGAGAGAGAGAGAGAGAGAGAGAGAGAGAGAGAGAGAGAGAGAGAGAGTATACTCACACAACAAAAGATAACTGTTATCGTCGTTGTACTCTGCTGCGGCGGCTCCTGCTACAAATCCTGGTGCAGGTCCAGCGGGTACAGGGTAAGGAATATACAGAGCTCTTTCTTGATGACCGTGTCCTTTCCCTCCGTATCCTTTGCCATGTCCGCCATATCCGCCATATCCTCCTCCATAGCCTTTTCCGTAACCACCATATCCTCCGTACATCGCTCCGCCGTACATGTCATATCCTCCTCCATAGCCTCCATAGCCACCATAGCCATTTCCAAGACAACAGCCAAGGACAAGGGCAAGAGTTATGGTCGAAAGGGCAAACTTAAGATAATACATGCTGATCCTGAAGTATGAAGTTATACCTTGTTTCAGAATACACAGATTCTAAAAGAAATTCAATGTTTACAGGAAGAAACCAGACATTTTTTTTTTATATCGAGGGTAACAGTCCCTGTCATCAAGAAAATACATAACATCAAGTTAGAAAAGGTAAAGGTTACCCCTGAAGGTTAATAAAAGAAAATTAACAATTTACACAAAGAAGAGTTTGCAATATCGATTAATGTTCGTTACAAAATATATACTTTAGGATCACTTTTTAATTTTTGCAACACATTTCTATTTTAGAAAATGAATTATTTTCATACCACGATCACATTACTAGATTAATGCTTGTATCTTCGATCTCCGATCCAACTTACCTGATCAGATGAGACGATGAAGTGAGGATGATTTGACGAAAGTAGAGCTCGTATTTATATACCTAATCCACGCTGAATTATGAATGCACCCGGAAACCTACGTTTGAAATTATATCATGATATTACAACCAGTAATGGTGTATCGGTCAAAGTAAGCAGCATTGTGTAACTGATAGTGTAACAGATAGGACAGAGCATACAAATCAATCTCGCATTTTTTATTTTCAAATACAGTACTTTATCAAGTATATTAAAGTGTCGGGCAGTTGATACGACATCTTAGACTTAAGATTGACGATGGTCAAAACTTGGTATACCTTCTATTATAATTGTCGATATTATCTGTCAATTCCAGAGCTAAACTTCAGCAGACATAGGCAGGTATTATCGTAAGGAGGAATAGTCAACGGAGGTATTGTATTGTATTTTATGGAAAATAAATAAAATTCAACTGCATTAAATTTTCATGTTTTGTGTCGGGGTCGTTCGCAAACTCTTTCTAAACTGAAAGTGTTTGTTGAAATATAAAAGTATAGTTTATACACAACATAACCTTCGTGCTCTCGATATTGTAAATATTCAAAGCTTTTCAGCCTTATAGATACTCTTGAAAAAATTGCCCTACAACAAGTTATCCGAAAACAAAATGAACATCATAATGCGTTTGCCGAAGGTTGTCTGAAATGATTCTTTACCACACAAAAGGAACAAAGACGAATCACATTTAAATCGTGTCGAGATTAAAGACTTTTCCAGTAAAATAAAACGAATATGTTTCGATTGCAGAAATATAGCATGAACAATTTCGCAGTCAGAATAAATATTACAGAAAGTTATCATATGGAATAAACAGTGTATTTACTTAAAAAAAACTATATCTGTAAATAGCAAATCACCAACAAGTCATCAACAATCATAATCCAAACTCAAATGTAAACAAAGGGAAAATGTGCAAATGGAGTCCTGGAAAAGTACAAGGAGAATAAGTCCAGGTGTTCCGCGAGGGTAAGTGTCTATCAAGGTAAGTAATTTCACGTTCTCCAATGAGTGCAAGATATGCAACAATGGAACCAACAGGCAAAATTACGAGCATCAAAGACGTGAAACTTGATATCTTACAAAGAAAAAATAACATTTCCCTATGAAATCACAATGACAAACGTAACATATCTCATAATTTTCATTAACCTGCTTCTTTCGAAACCCTTTGTTACGAAGTTATCCGTCAGTTGACGATGTAATGCACGTTAAACGTGATAATGGGAACAGGTCACTTACTACCGAATCAACTGCTACATATAAGCACCATAGGTTGGGAATGTAGGTAATTTGCTATCAATAAATGGAAAACTCACGATATGAAAAATGAAATCACCACGCTTATCATACAGCTGGGTGGATAGTTATCCATGTTGGTTTCTTTGTAGAAAATGACCGAGACGAGCGACCGATGTAGGAGGGTCTGTTGCGTTTTTTATTTTCAGTTCTTGTGGGTATATAACGATTGATATGGTCATTAGATTTCTTGTAAATATGACTATTAGCAAAATTTATTTCATTTTGATTTTTTTTCTTGTATAGATATATGTACTTTTCGAAAATTTGCCCTCAGAAAATGTCTCAATTCTAAATATTTTTGTTTAATTTCTTTATTTACTTCGATTGAGCGATCTCAAAATTGATTTAAAAATCAGCTCATAAGAATGAAAATTATGATATTTCAAGTGAACAGACTCTATATAAATACAGATGTGAAATAGAAAAAATTATTTATTTCACTTTACAGTCATCATGGAGTCAAGTTATAAAATATGAAACTGGTCAATCTGTTCCTGACAATCAAATTTGTCAAAACCGACTTGATAAGCAAGTCTTAAAAAACTTAGGAATACGATGAAAGTATTATAAATTCTTCTGTTTATTGTTAAAATATTGCATTTTCTTACCTTGATACCGTAAAGGTAAGATAGCAGTACTCATGAAAACTTTCTTTGTACAACTTGAAACCAATGTATGAGTATTATTTGATGAGATGAAACGATTTTAAAGCAGTACATACCCTATTTATTTACAAAGAATGAATAGGAGACAGGCTTGTTTATGACAAAGACAAGTCAAATGTTACAAAGAATTACTTGGGAACGAACGACAATTCAATTTAATTACTTTGTCGATAATTTCAGATTGTCAAGATATTTAATTGGTCAAATGCTTAATCTGGACATGGATCACATTCATGTCTTCTGTCGTTTTCTACCTTTACTGCATTTTTTAAAATAAAGAATGATGAATAAACATAGTGAAACATGTCCATAATGTCCGATGCTTTATTGATCTACGTTAGAGATAAAGACGTGAGGAATTTCCGTTACATTTCCAAGGAATTCGTATAAACATAGATTCAGCATTCTCTGGTGTTTACTAGTTGTAGTCAATGTGATTTTCAAGGGCTTAATCAATTATCTCGATTTGCTTAAAATATGTGGACAGCACATATACTTACTGGCTTACTTTCAAGAGTTTTGAAAGATTGATGAAGATTATGGCGAAGTTTATTGTTAATCATAATCGCCTTATTCAGAATCATTTTAGTTCCTTATGCGATACGAACTTAGATTCCTTTTGTTAGAATGGATGTTTTGTTACATTTGTTATTTAACTTGATCTCACAAGGGAATCTGAGTTTATCTTCTTGAAACGACCAAAATTTACGTTTCAGGTGTAATTGATAAAGCGGAAAATGGGAATCCTTCTGGAGTGCCTGGTCTGGTCTTATTCTTCTTTATTTTTCTCTAGTCTCAGATTTTATCCTGCTTTCATAGTTATGTTTGAATTAGGATTTCGTTAACTTGTCGTTTTTTTCTTTTTTGTCTTTGCCTCTAGTTTCATCAAATTTCAGTTTTGGTTTTAATCTGTTGATATGTAAGTATATCCTTTGTTGTTTTCGACAGATGATCCACATGAAGAAACACTTCTCAGACTTTTCATATGCCCGCGTTCAAACCTGATTTCATAGTCAACTTTACACTCTTAAGCACTAGCAGGTGAGTCGAACTTCTGTGTTTCCAACGACGAGCAGATTCACATGTTAGGTTTTGTTATGTATCCTCTGATGTGATATTTACGTCACTTTGAAGACACTTTTGAGTACGAAAAGTATTCGTTAATGTATGAAGGAAATTTGCTCATGAATTTGTGTCGTTTTAACACTCGACTTTGTCTTACATTTTAACTTAATTTGTGACCGATCTCCAGAAGATACATAAAGCAAAGAAATTATATTTACTTTTTATACCTTGAACAATATTGTATAAACAGACAAACTATAGAGTTTGGAATGATATGCTTTATTCAGGAATGATATATAAGTAAAATGATGACCGCAAACACACAGGGGTCTTTGGTAACAGCCAAGTAGTCTCGCGCACAAAGAAAATCAATCTGAAACAGAAAATTAAAAATATTGTTGTTAGTTCATGAAATGACATAAAATAGACTAAAATGACAATGGGTTTATTTTAACCCTCGATTTAAATGATAAGTTTAACATCCTACCTTCCGTTGTAGTCCGTTACATGGTAAATGGTCTATCCACTGTTGTTGTTATTATTGATCAGCAGCAACAACAAGAGGGCACCTCCGACTGAAAATAACAAAATATGTCGCAACTATGTCAATTGAAGAACAGGCGTGGTTGACATAGATCACTATGACGTTTTCTTTTGTTGTTGTTTCGAGGGCAATACAATGTGATATGTATATGTGTGTTATATTCAAGAACATGATGGAAGCACACTTTGTTGTAGTGATTATGTAAACATTGATTCAATGGAGGAAATCCGTTCCCCTGAAACATTATATCTAAGACATGTTATGCTGTATTAGTACTCACACAACAAAAGATAACTGTTGTCGTCGTTGTACTCTGCTGCGGCGGCTCCTGCTACAAATCCTGGTGCAGGTCCAGCGGGTACAGGGTAAGGAATATACAGAGCCCTTTCTTGATGGCCGTATCCTTTCCCTCCGTATCCTTTGCCATGTCCGCCATATCCGCTATATCCCCCTCCATAGCCTTTTCCGTAACCACCATATCCTCCATACATCGCTCCGCCGTACATGTCATATCCTCCTCCATAGCCACCATAGCCATTTCCAAGACAACAGCCAAGGACAAGGGCAAGAGTTATGGTCGAAAGGGCAAACTTAAGATAATTCATGTTGATCCTGAAGTATGAAGTTATAGCTTGTTTCAGAATACACAGAGATTCTAGAAGAAATTCAACGTTTACAGGAAGAAACCAGACATTTTTTTTATCTAGGGTTACAGTCACTGTCATCAAGGATATATATAGCATCAAGTTAGAAAAGGTAAAGGTTACCCCTGGAGGTTAATAGAAGAAAATTAACAATTTATACAAAGAAGAGTTTGCAATATCGATTAATGTTCGTTACAAAATATATACTTTAGGATCACTTTTTAATTTTTTGCAACACATTCCTATTTTAGAAAATGATATATTTTCATACCACGATCACATTACTTGACTAATGATTGGATCTTCCATCTCCAATCCAACTTACCTGATCAGATGAGACGATGAAGTGAGGATGATTTGACGAAAGTAGAGCTCGTATTTATATACCTAATCCAAGCTGAATTATGAATGCACCCGGAAACCTACGTTTGTAATTATATCATGATATTACAACAAGTAATGGTGCATCGGTCAAAGTAAGCAGCATTGTGTAACTGATAGTGTAACAGATAGGTCAGAGCATAAAAAATCAATCTTGCATTTCATTTTCAAATAAATTCACTTTATCAAATACAGTGCAACTTCCCAAACCGGAATGACGTCCACTTAGTTATAGTAAGGAAAACCTTCCTAATACCCATGGCTCTTAATCTCCCGATTTTATGTAACGTAAAGACACCGAAAATTCCTTCTGAAAACCGGATTTCCCTGAACGATTAGAACACAAGTCCCGACCAGCGGTCCGTGAAATCAGCACCGTGGGTGATAATTGTAAGCTTTGCCCCTGGCGCGTACGCCTGTCATGAGTAGGCTTTGTACACAGTACCTACACTGACAGGATGCTTAAGATAAACATAATGTGAATTTATCGGCAATGACAAATTGAAACCATATCTAACGAGTCCATCGTTCCACAGAAACGAGAAGGTGAGCATAAGTTAGAGTTAGAAAGACGCCATTCCGCATCTAAATCGTGGATAATTGAATAATGATACTTTTTTTACAGAATGGAAACATTAATCGAGCGTTGTTTTAGATGATATTTTTATATTGATCAACAAAAAACACACATTCTTCAAATATATTGGTTGGTAACAGTTTCGGAAAAGCAGACCATAGGTGGGGCTGTATGTACTTCCGAGATCGCCAGGCGATGCTCAGATTTATAGGTCCGACTAAAGCCGCGGATAGTATATAAGTACCGTTATTTTTACAATTTACCAAGATAATTTTACATCTCAAATTTTTTTCTGTATTCATTTGGACTTGTATAGTGGAAATAACCTTAAAGCGAACGGAATTTGTAATGTAATTACAGAATGGCTTCAGTTCAATTTTGCCTGAGTCCGGACCGACAACTTGCTTCACTTCTACAAACCAAACTCTCTCTAAATAGGTCAAATATTTATGTTCCATGCATGGCCGGTTTGGAGAACATCCACTGTATATCAAAATTACAGTCACTGGAACTTGATGAGACTTTAGATTGCCGGTCGTCAAAGCTTGGTCTACCTCCTTCTGTCACAATAGTCAATATCATCATTCAAGAGCTAAACTGCATCAGAAGTTGGCAGTTATTATCGCAAGGAGGAATATTCAACGGAAATATTGTTTTGTATGCACAACAAATAAAACTCTTTCTAAATTGAAAGTGTTTGATGAAATATAAAGATGTATTTTATACACAACATAAACTTCGTGCTCTCGATATTCTAATTATACTTAGCTGATCAGCCTAATAAATATTAATGAATAATAAAAACATCATACTCCGTTTGCTGAAGGTTGTTTCAAACGAGCCTTTACCACACCAAAAGGAACAAAGATTGATTACATTGTCGAGATTGAAGACTTTTCAAGCAAAATAAGAAAACGAATACGTTTTGATCGCAGAAATATAGAATGAAAAATTTTACATTCAGAATATATCATACAGAAAGTTATCATATGGAATAAACATTGTATTTATTTAAACAAAACTGCCTGTATATTTGTTTGTCGATAGAATTTACTTAACATCAACATGTCATCAACAATCACAATCCAAACTCAAATATAAACGAAGAGAACATGTACACATGGAGTCCTGGAATGTACAAAGAGCGTTAATGATAACGACAGGTCAAATGTTGCATAGAACTACTTGGGAGCGATGATTTCAATCTAATTATTTTGTCGATGACGTCAGAATGTCAAGATATATAATTGGTAAATAATTAATCTTGACATGGATCAAATTTATGTCTTCTATCGTTTTCTCATTTCACTGATATTCAATATAAAAGTTTGTATATAAAAAGCATATAATAGGGTTTCAGACAAGGTTGTTACTCATATATTCAGGCGGCGATATGAGAACGTTCCACCACATGGAATTAGTTGATTTTTGGTACAATTTTTCTGGGAAATTTGCAAATATATAACGGGAGAAAATTGCAAATTTATGGCATTTTTCTTTATAATTGTGTCTTGCAAGTGCATTTTCATGCGAAATATTTTTTTTTATGTTTTATGAAATATTTATCAAAAGAAATTTATACTATGTTGCAAATTGTCTAAAATTGCATGGATAATTTATGTCTTTGATGCTGAAATTGTTTTCTACCTTTACTGCATTTTTTTTTAAAGAATGATAAATTTATCCTATAAACATATTGAAACATGTGCATAATGCTTTATCGATCTACGTTAGAGAACTGATAGAAAAGACGCGAGTATTTCTGTTACCTTTCCAAGGAATCCGTATAAACATTGATCCAGCATTTTCTGGTGTTTACACGATTTAGTTGATGTGATTATCTCATTCAGTCTTATTTTATTTCCTAACACGATATGAAGTTAGACATGTAAGTTAGTATAGGTTGTATGTTACATTTGTTATCTAACTTGATCTCACTAGGGAACTTGAGTTTGCCTTCATGGAACGACCAAAATGTTCATTTTGCAGGTGTCATTGGTGAAGCAGAAGACGGGAACCCGCTGGAATGCATGGTCTTCTTTATAGTTTTCTGGTCTCAATGTAAATGTTTTTTGTTCAGATTTTGTCCTACTTTCATAATTATGTTTGAATTTGGATTTCGTTAAAATGTCAGTGTTTTCTTTCATGTTTTTGCCTTAGTTTCATCGAACTTTAGTTTTAGAGTAAAATCTGTTGACATGAAAGTTTATCCTTTGTTATTTTTCGACCGATGACACTTTTCAGTCTTTTTGTATGCCTTCATCCATACCTGATGTCATAGTCAACTTAACATTCTAAATCACCAGCAGGTGGGTGGAAATTTCTGCGTTTCCAACGACGAGCAGATTCACATGTTTGGTTTTGTTGTGAATCGTGTGATATTGTGATATTTACGTCACTTTGAAGACACTTTTGAGTACGGACAGTATTAGTTTGTGTCGTTTTAACATTCAATTTTGTCTTAAGCTGTAACTAAATTCGTCACCGATCTCCAGAAGATACTTAAAAACAATTATCATATCCACTTATCATACCTTGAACAATATTGTATAAACCGACAAACTACAGAGTTTGGAATGACATGCTTTATTGAGGAATGTTAACAAGTAAAATGATGACCGCAAACACACAGGGGTCTTTGGTAACAGCCAAGGAGACTCGCGCACAAAGAAAGTCAATCTGAAACAGAAAATTAAATTTATTGTTGCTTGTTCATGTAATGACATAAAATAGACGCTAATGGTAATAGGCTTACTTAAACCCTCGATTTAAATGATAAGTTTAACATCCTACCTTCCGTTATAGTCCGTTACATGGTAAATGGTCTATCCACTGTTGTTGTTATTATTGATCAGCAGCAGCAGCAAGAGGGCACCTCCGACTGAAAATAACAAAATTTGTTCAACTATGTCAATTGAAAGAACAGGCGTGCTTGACAAAGATCACTATAACCTTGTTCCATTGTAGTTTTAAGAGCAATTCAATATGATATGATGAAAGCACACTTATCTGCAATAATTATGTAAACATTGAATCAATGTAGGAAATACGTTTTGCTAAATTGTTATATCTTAAACATGTCAGTTTTGTACTCACACAACAGTATATTACTGTTATCGTCGTTGTACTCTGCTGCGGCGGCTCCTGCTACAAATCCTGGTGCAGGTCCAGCGGGTACAGGGTAAGGAATATACACAGCCCTTTCTTGATGGCCGTATCCTTTCCCTCCGTATCCTTTGCCATATCCGCCATATCCGCTATATCCCCCTCCATAACCTTTTCCGTAACCACCATATCCTCCGTACATCGCTCCGCCGTACGTGTCATATCCCCCTCCATAGCTGCCATAGCCATCTCCGAGACAACAGCCAAGGACAAGGGCAAGAGTTATGGTTGAAAGGGCAAACTTAAGATGCATCATGTTGATCCTAAGGTATGAAGTTATAGCATGTTTCAGAATACACATTCAGATTCTAGAAAAAGTCCAATGTTGAAAGAAGGAAACTAGAAAAAAAAATTCAAATCGAGGATAACAGTCGCAGTCAGAAATTCGGTGTTTAAAGGAAAATTTAGCAAAAAAGAAGGGAAAACATAACGAAACATTTGTGGATCTTTCGAGTTTCATTAATGATATACATAACATCAAGTAAGGAAAAAATTGTCCTTGCGGTTAAGATTGAAAATTAACCATTTACTCAATGAAATGTTTGCAATATCGATAAATATAAGTCACCAGACATACATAAGGATTTCATTTCTTTTTTTTTTTAGAAAATCATACATTTTATAGCATGATCAAATTACTAGATTAATGCTTGTATCTTCGATCTCCAATCCAACTTACCTGTTCTGATGAGCCGGTGAAGTGAGGATGATTTGACGAAAGTAAAGCTCGTATTTATATACCTGATCTACGATGAGTTATGAATGTACCCGGAAACCTATGTTTGTAATTGCAACATGGTATTACAACCAGTAATGGTCCATCGATCAAAGTAAGCAGCACTGTATAACTGATAGTATAACAGAACGGACAGTGGTGTATATACACAAATGTCACCTTGTATCTCAGAGAAAATTTTCACTTTGGCTCGAAGGAACCGTTATCTAATAGTATACCAAA